GGGTGTGTGCAGCAGTGGGAGCTGCTACCCCCTGCATCCCCCGGATGAGCAACTTGTGGGTCTGTCCCATGCTCCAGCCCCAGCCCCAGCCCCAGCCCCTCCCTCACTGTGGGGGGTCTATGGGAGTGGGGCTATGGGGGGATGCAGTCACTCCAAAATTGGCTGTAACCCTCCAACTCCTCCCAGTGCTGTTGCCACCCTCCACGAGCACAGCCCAGCCTAACCCCAGGAAGAGCCCAGGCTGGCCCCAGGCCCAGTCCACCCTGCCCTGTGTGCAGATCTGGGGGAGTATGCACCTTATGCCCTCCTGGGGTGGGTGTAGCAGTGGGATCTGTCCGCACCTGCATGGCTCAGTTCCATGTCCCACCCCAGCTGGGCAGCCCCTGCCCTTGCCCTACTCCCTCCCCATACAACATACTTACCAGCTGGATTTGGCTGCTCTCCACATGGCCAGGTTGCGCTCCTGGCCCCCCACATGCTGTCCTGTGGCTGTACGCATGGACATGGAGTTCCGTGTACCCGTTATGGACCTTTTAAGTACCCCTAGGGGTACGCGTATCCCCCTTGACAACTGCTGTTCTAGATTTTAAATTGGTTTAATACAAAAAACAAAACAAGCTATTTAAATGTGACCACTCTACATTTAAAGCAGAAGAATTGTTTTTGGTAGATTTAAAATAATATTTTTTCACTGTTTTATAATTGTTACAGTTATGCTAAACAGATGAATCATGAGGTATAAAAAACTTAAATGATTTTTTTCAACTCAACACACGAAGCACCTAAATATTCATATTCATATTAAATTTTCACCTCAGTTGTTTATACCCTCGCAAGGATTTCCCACTTTAATTTTTTGAGATTGTTTGAACTCCTTTTAATTGTCTGGGACTCTGCAGTGGAAATGTATCTATTTGTTCAACAATGCAGGGAGGCAAAGCAGGACTTTAAGGGTGCCTGTACATGAGTGTGGAGGGTGCTCCAACATACTGTAATTACAGACTCGATTAATTGAGTCTGCTGGTGTGTAGTAATTGCCACACTCCAGCAGCCTCCCACTCTCATGCATCAATGTCCCTGCCTAAGTGCGGGGACACTCGAACTAAAGCTCTCTAACAAACTTTAATTCAAGTACCCCCACCACCATTTTGAAGTGCAGGGATGTTGATACATGAGATACTGTGGTGCTTTAATTAGAGCAGCTCTCAGAGCCACTCTAATTAAAGCACCACCTCCCCACCCCTGGAGGATGTGTAAATGTGCCCTTAATTTCTTTTCTTTCCCTATGACATATAAGCACCAATCCTTTATTTGTAGGGGTTGATGTGCCAGTGGTCTCCTTCCTGAAGCTACCAGATCTGTGAACAGTCACTGATACTGCTCCACCTAGACTAGTGAACAGGGTCAGAGCCATATATGACTAACCTGTCTAATTTGCCTAACTGAAAAAAAATGCATTTCTTTTATGCTTATCTTGCTGAATGAAGAAAAAAGGTCATGATGAAAGCACAGGAAAATCAATCAATACAAAAAAAATGAACTTTATAGGGAAGTTGCTAATACAAGAAGCCTGCTGCAATCCTTTATTATTGCATTAATCTTTTCTTACAGCTACAAAAATGGGGGATTTTCCATGGCAAAGTGCAATGCTTAGTATAATTATTATAGCTGCTGTCCACATAGAAGCCAAAACCACACAGAAGCCACATGCAAAGTTTACTAAGATAAAGGTTCCTGAAGTGGAGGTCACTGAAGGATTCGACACATCCATTGTCCCACCCACCGGTGAAAGCTCCTTTCCAGAAATCTCAGAAATGACAACAGATTTGTCCACTCTGCACCCTGCCTTCAGGACGGCCACCACTCTGTTTCCTTTTGAAAACTTTACCCTTGACACAGCTGATTTCTTCTTTAATTGCTGTGATTGCTGTACCCCTGTATCGGGTCAGAAAGGGGAACCAGGAGACCATGGACTGCCAGGTAAGGGAAAGGGAAATTATTAGTTATTATGATGATTTATTATATTTTTCAGGAAGAAGTGTCACCTGTAGTGTATAAGTTATGGCAATGGCTTGCCTGTTCGATAAGATCTTACATAATTGATCTAACAGACCAGATTCTTATACCATGGCAATTTATTCCAGATGAAGGCTAGGTTTAGTATACTTATGCCTCATACAATATCAGATCAGCAATTTACTTTAATTCAAATGTAAGAATAAAGCAATGCTAACTTAAGCCCTGGAAATGCAATTCCTTCATGTGGGGAGCACCCATTAGAAACAATGTTTTGTGTATGGAAAAGTTGCAAGGATGGGCCCTATTATGCCAAGGAGTTACCATTACTGTAACAAACTCCTGGACAATAATTCACCTTTCTCTGCCTTTACCTATCTTTGTATAGGAAATCCTAGAAAACTGCAACATTGTGTTTCATGTATATGGTTGTTCCAAGGGAAGGGGACAGTAGACAGACCAGGCCATACAAGTAGGCTCAAAGCACATTAAGGCAAAGGAATGTTCTTTCTTGAAGCATCTTTAATTCCTGTATAATGGTCACTTTCAGAGAGGATTTGAATATAGAGTGGTCACTTGAAGAAGGACAGCTCATGCCCCAGCCCCTTGAACTCTAATGTTCCTTGTTCTTAGTTTACCCCACTCATCCAAAATCATTTGCATTATTTTCTCTAATTCTATCCCAAATTTTACATTTGCCAAACAATGGGACTTGTACTGTTTCTCTTAGAAGACTAATCAGATATGATTTACCAGTTCAACCAAAAATATTCAGGCTGAATATTTATTTCCTTGTTAGTCCTAGGTATAAGCAAATGGAGCATCACACACATTTCTTTACCCTGCCTTTTTCATGTTTAGATCATTCTAGTATTTACAGATTGTTTTTATGTTCCCTTTAGTCATTGTTTCATGCCTGGTACTACTACCTAAAAGTGGTTTATGGTTTTTTTTTGTAAGGTTATATAATAATAATAATACTAAAAATATTCAATCATTTCTTGGAAACAAGGAAGATGATAAAGGCTTCAGATTTTAAAATGATTAATTTACTAAACACAACCTCTATTAATACCATATAAATATTTTATAAAATAGGTACTTTTTTGTAACTTTATAGTTGTCAAATTGTGTACCAACTTTATTCTAATGGTGCATAAAGAAACTATTCATTAGAGAAAGAGTGATGGAACACTGGTGGAACTCAAATGAGTCATGAGTGACTGACTCAAGGGCCCCCTGTACATGTTACATTTATACTGTAGTTAATGTGTTAATACATAACAAGAGTGCTACATGTGCACCCAATTTAAGGCACTGCAAAATGGCAAACCAGCCATAAAAATGTTTCCTAAATAATGTAGAACATTTTCATGGTTGGTCTGTATCATGGGTGACTGGTGCCACCTTAGTCGGGGGGGCACATGCCCCCCCCAGTGACCAGTCAGTGACTGGGGGTGGGGGACAGTCCCCCACCATGGCCAATCTTGCCGATCAGGACCCAATTTCACCAATGGGATGTGGTTCCCC